ATCGGACGAGGGGTTGCTGACATGTGATGAGCCGATGGCTTCTCGTTTGTCCTTGTTTGAAGGCATGTGATGTAAGTTGTTCTTCCGAAGGCATTGATATGTGGGTGCCGGAGGGTTCCCCTGAGGGCACAATGTGTTCTTCGAAATATAGTCGTTGGGACATGACCGTTGGAGGATGGTTCCACGTGGCATGCGCTCGTTGGTCGAAGGGGGGCGGGTGCCACCCATTGGCTAAGGTGGCGGCCCGTAATGATGGGCTTTCAAACCGAGGCCCATCTTTCAAGGCTGGGGAGCTTATAAATACTAAAATACCCCAAGGTCTGAGTCATTTCCTCTGTGCGATTTAAAATTGAAGTGAAGCTCTGCTAAGATTTCTAGAGAGAGAAACTCCAGCCTTTGATCAAACCCTAAACCTCGAGGTCACTTCTTCACCTGTTCTCCGTTTTCCTAGCATACTTTGCTATTCCGCCCTTAGATCTAGTGTTAGTGATCCTAGGAGCCTTCGGTTAGAACCTTCAAACAGCCTTCTTCTTCTAAACCCTTCGATTCTTATTCCGGAAAAAATGTCGTCACAAAGCGATTCCCAGGACATCTCGAGGGAGCCCTCAGTTCAGTCGGAGAGCTATTCTAAGGTAGAGTCCTCAAGCGAGCAGCCCTCGGCGGGAGATGATCTACCCGTGGCAGAAGAAGTCCAGAACAACCTCCGGGCTGAGCTGGCAGCTGAGGACTTCGAGCAGGTTGTTGAGGACGGGGAGTTAGCCCTCGCTGTCCAAGTCGCTGGGGAGGAAGACGAGAAGGAGCGGATGATGGTTACTGTTGCTGTTCCGCCTCTTCCAAATGATGCGGAGGCCGGAAGCTCCCGGCCCCTCAACCCTGAGCCGCTACGGGTTGCTCCCGGGAAAAAGAAGAAGGGGATGAGGGCTTGCTGCATTCCTAGTCACTCTGGGCTGCTCTTCAGTAATATAAAATTTCCTTCTTTTTGGTTTTTCTACTCGTAACCAAAGTAAAACCACCCTCAGTCTTACCTGCATTAATGGAGTCAATGTGATGATTTGTAATGATTGTTGCTTGGTCTGTACTGTCAGTGTGCAGGTTCACTTGTTCTGTACTGCCAGGAATTGAGGATGTTTGCTGGGCTGGAAGAGGAACATTGCTTGAGGTATCCAAAATGTATCCCTCTTTTTCATCCTCATTACTGGACTTAGCATGCTGATTTGGAAGTACAGGTGCTTGTTCTGGCATATTAATTTGCAGGCTAACTTGATTGTGGTTCTGCAGAGAGACCACATTATGCTTTGAAGTTTCAACTTGTTTTCTAAGTAGATCAATTTTGGCAGAAAGTTCTGGCCATGTCTCTTTCCATTTATGCATATCCAACTGAGATATAGGTCGCTTTCCATCTGAGGCATTGATGGATCGTTGGACCAGGGGGGCCGGAATCCACCGAGAATGAGAGTAGAAAAGAGAACAAACTGATCGGAAAGTACAGATCGGAAAAGTCTCAGTGTATAAGTGATACACTTGTAATTTCCGTATGTATGTTTATGTTTTTAGCTAGTTTTGGTTGTTTAATATTTCGGAAATTACACACTTTTGGTGTAATAGTTTAGTTTGTTAAATTCTTGTAAATTGTTTAGATTAGGATTATTCTGAGCTCAAACAAGTCTACCATCACTCAAAGGATGGTTGGTGAACCCCAAAAGTGGAAGGAAGGTGCAAATCACAAGACAAAAAGGGAAAATACTGATTTTTGCCTATACTCGGTCGAGTATTACCTATACTCGATCGGGTATAAGGTTGAAACTTCAAATCAAATCGGATCCGAAGACAAAGGAACATGCCGGGAAGATTTTGACCACGATTCTGGCATTTCACACATACTCGATCGGGTACTATGTATATACCCGATCGAGTACTCGAGTCCCATCCCAAAAGCCTATAAATACACCCCCTTTCCTTCACAATAGATCACCAATTCACATATACTTCTTAGCTCAGTTTAGACAAGTTCTTTCTTTATATTTTTCATCATGTTTAGTCTCCAAATGAGGAGCTAAACTCTTCCATCTTGGTTTTGCTACTTTGAAGCTTAATGATTTGTAAGTTGTGAGTTATTTTCTTTAATCTTCTTCCTTGAATATTAATTACTTCCTACTCTTATTCCATATTAATATATTGAGCATTACTTAAAGTATCAACTAGTCTTGTTCTATATATTAATTATTACTAGAATCGGTCGGTTAATACGCTTGTTATTAATTCGGTCCTTTCACGGTAGTAAACTTGGGTTATTAATGCATGCCTCTCATGGTTAATAAGCCAAGGGGAATTAATTATATTGATTAAACCAATAAACCGCTTGTGTTGAGGTTATCAATCTCAATCGTTTTCATCTTGATTTTATTGCTACTATCAAGTTAATATACGGCGCTTGTTCTATATTGACTTGGTAGTAAGTTTTATTAATGAACGCTTCTCGTTATTTTTTTCGATAATATGTAAGTATATTAGAAACCGAAAAATAGCATTTTACAATGCATCAAATCCAAATCAAAATGACTATCTAAGCTAGAATGGTCTAACCTAGATATAATGCATCAAAATAATGGGACAGTCCCCACTTCACAAATCACTAATTATAAATTAAAAGTCTAGCCCATCAAAGGAAGCAATAGTTTCCCATCCAAGAATTCACCACCAAAAACACTAAAATCCCCTATTTAATCCCAAAAAACAATCTGAAAGGAGTAGTGAACTTTGAGTCAAAGCAAACTTCCCCTTTTTTCCTCGTAACTCCTGGCAAACCTTCAAGACATTTGGCCGTGAATGTTAAGCCCTTTTTATCCAAATCATCCGTAAGTCGGAGAGAAGTATCCACTCTAATTACACTATCATGCACGGATCTAAACGGTTTGACACTTAGCTTAAGCGTCTTACCGTTTATCACCTCACATTTAGTGACAACATCATTTTGCCTTACTTCACTTTCATCAATCACAACCCTCACGGCATCTTCCAACACGGCTTCAGAGGTTTTACCAGCTTGTTTTGTAGGCTGTCCAGCAGGCGTAGGAGCAAGAACCACGGCAGTGGCAGTCCCCTGGACAGGTTGTTGAAGCGTGGCAACAGGTCGCACAACCGCGGCAGATTTGGCAGGTAGCTCAAGCGTGACAGCAGGTCGCACAACCACGGCAGATTTGGCAGATTGCTCAACTCCCTTGGCAGGTCTCTTAGGAGCTCCCTTGGCTGGTCCCTCAGCTCCCTTAGTTGCTGCAGATCCTTGGGCACCGGAGGCAGCTGCTGCATCAGTCAGGGCATGAATTACTGCAGTTTTTTCATGAGCAGTAGCCGGCCCAGTTTGCTCATTCCCTAATTTTTCATTTTTCCCCATGCTCTGTTCTTTCTCTCTTTCTCCATCATCCCGTTTGGCAAGCTTCTTACAAATAAATGGGTGGTGCCCGAATTCCTTGCAATGAAAGCAAAAGTTAGGAAAAGTTTCATAAAGCACACTTTGTTTCATTACCTTTTGGGAAGGTAGCCGTATATGAAAAGAAAGTGGCGGTGGCTTTGAAACATCAACTTCAATGAGCACTCTTGCATATTCATTATTTGTCCTCTCTTGAGTGATCTTGTCCGTAGTAATTGGGACCCCAACCATAGATGCCACTTCACTCATAGCTTCGTCGTTCCAAAGCTTCATAGGTAGTTTGGGGAACTTCACCCAAATTGGCACTTTAAGAAATTCCTCATCTTCAAACGAGAAGTCTTCCGAAAGTACTTTGAGCATAAGAAGTTTCCCAAAAACATTGTAAGGTCCGTCATGTAGTACCTTCAATCTATCCTCCTCATTTCCAAATTTAAAGATTACCCATCCCTTGTTATGGGACCTCACAAGACATCTTACACCCCACGTAGCTTTAATATCATGCACCGCTTTTAGTCCGGGAAATTTGCCGGTGAAGTGCCCAACTAGGCAATAGCCCCACATTTCAACCATGGAAGGTAATACCCGATCCCCAAAGTCCAAAGTTTCTCCTTTAGGAGGAACATATCTCAATTTGATGCCATGTGCCGGATCTCGATTATCCTTAAACAGGTTTGACCATGGAGCTTTGTTTTCTGCCAGAGTTCTAACCTGACCAACAGCCTTGTTCTGTCCTGCATTCTTGATTGCATCAGTCCCTATATTCCCAGGAATGTGGATATCAATTGTATCATAGGTCCCAACATTCTTTTTTCCTCCAGGAGTCTGGTCTAATGCTTCAGAGACAGCCCCCATCACAGCCAAGGTCGGATGTTTTTCACTCTCAATCTGGCTAGTTTTGTTTGGAACAACCACTGCCTTTTTAACTTTGTTTCCAGAGTTAAGAGCTGGGAAATCTTCTTCCAAATCCTGTAAAGCTGCATATTTGGACCTGGTAAATCTCGTATTGGAGGAGTCCCCGACGGCCTGCTTTGTCTTTCCCATCACAAGTACCTGCAGCAGCACTTCAAATGACAAAAAACGCAGCAAACCTGGTTACTGCCAAGGGCAGTAAACTGGCGCAGCAGGTCTGTTCGTCACAGGTCATAGGCAGCCTTCGTCCCAGCTGATAGACGCCCAAACCAAACACAACAAAACCCCAAAAGACGGAGAATAATCGCCAAACAACTTCAGTTCGCACCTAGCTAGACTCTGTTTTCATAGCAGTAGTCTAAATACGTTCTGTAAGAAGATCGTTTTCTAGATGTCCCAAACACAAATCCAAATCCAAAGTCGAAAGCATATTCAAAAGCATTTTCCGACTAAGAATCACAAAACACAAACTCAAATCGCCGGAAATCAGTTCATCGTGAACAGTAAAATCACGCAATACAGAATCTCAAAATTTCAGTCTTCTGGCCGTCAATCAGCTAGTAAAACCAAATCCAAGCTAGAGCTGGAATTATAGAAGAAAATCGACCAAGAAACACAAAAGAAAACCAACTTACAAGACTCGATTCATCCCAAACGTAGCTTCCATTAACGGAAAAGAAGTGGGGCGCGAGAACCCAGGAGAGAAGCTGCTTCTCGTTATTAATAACTACCCTCGATGAACTGGATATACTCCTCGATTGAGTATTCGAGAGGAAGATAGTTAAAGATATAACCGGGATCGATGAACATTTCATTAAGTGGATAAAAGCAAAACCAAGTCTTCTTCTCATTAATTAAACCACATAACTCGTTCATCTTTGTGTTTTAATATTCAAAAAAGTTCTTCAACAACAAATCTAAACCCCCCCCCCCTTATTATTAGTTATAAAAAGAGAAGTATTCCTTTTCCTGCGGATACGAACCTTACTACGCTATACTACGTATAAGTGTTGTATTGTATTATTTATTTTGAGTGCACCTCACGACAAGTGCACGTCAATAAGTTTCAAGAGTGCAGTAGATTAAGCATCCCTCTCCACAAGTTGGAAGGTGATATTTATACTAAGGAAAAAAGGAAATACTTGGAGGCCAAGCCAAAGATGCTAGTCTAATGGGAGAAAGACACGTGTAAAGCTATTCTAACAAACTAACAACCCAATTCAATGAGGAGCGGCCACGTGTAAAGCTGATTAGAGAGAGAACCTTTGATAGCTGGCTGATTGATTATTCTTCCAACAGAATTCCCGCCAGAAGTCCCGTGTGGCTGCACGTGGATAACCTAAAATATTCCTTTGGTGCAGAGGGTGACGTGGCGGTGTCTCCTTGCGAGACAAATCCTTGCGGATTCTATCTAAGTACATGGCGCTTTATCCTGACCTTGGGGACCACTGAGGTCAATATCTGAGAGCTCGGGCTCGTGTTGAGAGGATCCACCCTTTTGTCCTTTGTCCTGGCGATAGTTGACTGCCTGGTGCTTGACCACCGTTGACCAAATACTTGACTTCCGGATTCAGACCTGGTACTGACCTCGGGTGCATCGAGGTCGGGCTCATGACTCGCCGAGTTTGGTTAATTCCTGAGCTTGATATCTTCCCGACCTTGAGGTCGGGGTCGGTCGACCTCGTTACCCACGGAGTTTGGTTGGTTCCTGAGCTTGGTGTTTTCCCGACCTCGGCGGTCGGGGTCGGGGGCTGTCTCGGATTGTGGACTTAGTATTTTTACGCCTTTGATGGACCTTCAATGCTTTCTACCGGCGATTATGATACCCCTGGGGTGTACGGGAATATACTCCATCAGGCATATTCCTTTACTCGAAGATCTTCATCCAATTCCAGCTGCTTTTGTAGCTCCTTAATGTGCAAGTCATCTTTATGGCCAGTATTAAAAGATCCAGAAGCTGCAGTCTGAAAGAGCTGATCAATCTTCTGCTGGAAATGTGCTGGCTCATGCTGTATAGGTTGATCTTCAGTGTCCAGGAATATCTCTTCTTCGTCCGAGTCTTCATTATTGACTGTAACTAATTGTGTAGATGTGGAAGGCGGTGCTTGAGCTTTTGTATTATGGTTTGTAACTTGCATATTCTTAACCTTCTCCACCCATATCTCTTTAGGCACAATAGCCTGAGAGATCTCAGTTGACTGTTTGGGACATTTAGCTGCAGCATGACCCAAATGATAACATAAAGAACAATATTCTGGCCTATTTTCATAGCAAACAGGCTGGAAAAAACCAATAGACCCACAAGTCACCCAAACCTTTGTAGGCATTTCTTTTGTCAGATCAAGCTCCACACATATCCTAGCAACCGAGGGGTCTAGCCAAAGTAGCTGTGGCCGAGTCAATATGCAGAGGGTTTCCAATTAAACCAGCAATTGCAAATAGGGCCCTTTTGTCATGCAAGTGGATTGGCAAACCCTCAAAGGCAATCCACACCAGAACCACGGGGGATTCGACATTAGGCTTAAATTCAGGTGACCACTTCGTGACTCGCATAATATTCCCCTGAATAGACCAAGTTTGTCTATTCCAGCATCTCAAATAATCCTCTTCCAAATCAAAACGTATCAACACATGCTTTTTCTCAAGATGTCCCAAATGAAACGAACCCTTAAAACCAATGATTTCAAATGCTTTTCGTATGAAAGAGAGGCTGGGCCTCCCGCGGAAAAAATAGTCTACCAAAGATCTCTTATGGATTTCCGCCAATTTATGAGCATCTGATTCAGGGAAGGAGATGGTCGGCACTCCTTTAAACCGAGATTGCGTATAGGAAATAGGAGCTTCCTTGTTCGAGACAACATCAGCAAAAGACTTCTGAGGCCAAACGTTGCCGTTTGGCAATGGTGGCGGCTGCGCCACCGAGGCTTGTTCGTTCATACGATGATCGCTCAATGGAGATCACACCGAGGCTTGCTCGTCCTTCCTCTAGACCAATGTAACAATTAACTAGTTTTATACTTGAATGAAAAATGTAACTATTAACTAGTTTTATACTTGAATGAAAAATGCAACAATTAACTAGTTTTATACTTTAATGAAAAATGTAACAATTAACTAGTTTTATACTTGAATGAAAAATGTAACTATTAACTAGTTTTATACTTTAATGAAAAATGTAACAATTAACTACTTTTATACTTTAATGAAAAATGTAACAATTAACTACTTTTATACTTTAATGAAAAATGTAAAAATTAACTAATACGATGAATTTAATTACTATGAATTCAAGTGTAACTAATATATAATATAATGTTTATAGTATATAATATATAAGTATATTACTATAAGATGAGTAATACACTTATATATAATACTTTAATATATATAAGTAAATAACAATAAATATAGATAACAAAGTAAATATTAAGAAGATGGAGATGTATAAGTAGATAATAAGTATATATTAAGTAGATAATAAATATTAGTAATATAATATAGGTATATAAGTAGATAATTAATATATAAGTAGATATAATAATTATATAAATAATATATATGTAGAGACGTTTGGAGAAGATGGAGATGGAGATGTATAAGTAGATAATAAGTAATTTAAGTATATATTAAGTAGATAATAAATATTAGTAATATAATATAGGTATAGAAGTAGATTATTTTATAACTAATATATAATATAATGTTTATAGTACATAATATATAAGTATATTACTATAAGATGAGTAATACACTTATATATAATACTTTAATATATATATATATATATATATATATATATAAGTAGATAATAGGTAGAGATTAAGTAGATAAGGAATATAAGTAATATAATATATGTATGTAAAGTAGATAATTAATAATTTAATATATAAGTAAATAACAATAAGTATAGATGATAAGTAGATATCAAAGTAAATATTAGGAAGATAATAAATATATATTAAGTAGATAATAAATATTAGTAATATAATATAGGTATATAAGTAGATAATTAATATATAAGTAGATATAATAATTATATAAATAATATATATACGTAGAGAGATTTGGAGAAGATGAAGATGGAGATGATTAAGATTTAAGAGTATGAGGGAATAGAGAATTAGAGAGTAGGAAGAGTTGGAGAAGAGGTGTAAAAAATGTATAGAAAATAGGAGTATAAATAGATTTTTTTTATCCCCCCCCCCCCAACAGCTATAGAGCCGTTTGGGTGGTCTCCCAACCGGACCCAACGGCTACATGCCTCCCAAATTTTTAAAACAATTTTTTTTAAAAAAAAAGAGCCGTTAGGCCCGAACCGGTTTGCCATATGAAGGGCCCGAGCCCGCACCGCTACTCCACCGGGCCGGGTCGACCCGAACCACCCCCCGACTGGTTCCCGGGCTAGCCCGGTTCTGGGGCGGGCCGCCCGGCCCGAGTCCAGGCCTAATTTCCCACATGAAAGTAGTCATGGACCCGGACCGGTTCTGGGCCGGGCTTTTTTTTTTTTGGAAGGAAGGCCCGAGACCGGCCTGGGTAGCCCCGGGTCCGGTCCGGGGCCGGGCCGGGACCGTTTTTTTTTTTTTTTTTGCTTTCCTAACCCCCCCCCCCCCCTCCAAACCCCTCCTAACCATCAAGCCCAATCCGGGTGGAACCCCAAAAATGAAAGGAAAAAAAATCAATGCAGCCCGGTCCGGGCCTGGCCCGGCCGGTTCGTCAAATATAAGACCCGACCGGACCCGAGAACCGGGCCGGTCCCGATCCCGCACAGTAGCGGGCCGAGCCGGTCCCGGGCCGGGCGGCCCGAACCGGGTCCAAGACTCCATGAAAGATGCAACCCGAAGTGATTTTTTTCCCCAACAGCCGACCCTACCCAACCTGCTTATGCATGGTTTACCAACTTATTTTTCGTACCGAACAAATCGGGTAGACCCAAAAAATATAGCAAACCCGACCCCACCCGCCCGATGTGCACCCTTTTCCAAGTTCCAAACATAGCCTTCAAATCTAACCTACTATTTTTTTGTTTGAGAATTTGATGGAATAAAGCAAAATGATTCACTAAATTGTCTGCGCGACTGCGCTTCTTTGTTATGAAGCAACAGTCAGTCCATGAAATTTTGGATGCGATTTTCACTATGGGTCATCCGGGAACAATCTCTCTGTGCTTTAATACGGGGATAAGACTGCGTACATCCGAACCATTTACCCCACCGTAGGTGGGAGCATGCGGTGGGGAGCCTTTGCAACCGTGAGATCTGAGGTAATGATGATGAAGTAATTGATTGCTGTAAATTCAATTGGGTCTGCTAAATTCTCCATTTACCGGCTTCTTGCATAAATAAAATACTACGGGATATAAGGGAGTATAATAACAATCTGTAGAAAAACAAATATAGGGACTATAGGAGTAATTAAACCACAGCAAATGTTTCCTCCACAAAAGAACAACGCAAGAAAAACATAGTTCCAGAGTACTTGCTACTAAAACAAACATCACACACATTTGACTCAGCAAGGGTTTGAAGGATCGCATTTAGAAAATGCTGATTGTCCCCTTACATTTATTCTCAATCCTTTAGAAACTGAAACAACAACACATTGCAACAATAACACAACAACACATTGCAACAATAACACAACAACAATATGGAAACCTTAAAACCAGTGAGCAAACACGCCACTGTTTCTGAGACTTTTCAACAAGCTCATGCAATCCCCACACCTAGCAGGTTTCCACACCGTAGTATCCGAGCAACGAAGGAAGAGTTCATCAACACGACATATCAAACCAGACCTGAAAAGCTCATCAAGTATCCCCAACTCCACCGGGCGAGCGTTCATCATAAGAACCACGAAGACCTCCTCTCCACCACTCACCGTCTCATTGAACCAACGAATAAAGTCAAAGTCTTTTTCATCCTCTAATTCCTCATCGTCTGCATAGTTAATATCCTGTTCCATCTCCTCTTCTCCTGCAAGTCCTGGGTGGTACACAAATGTGATCCCCGGAGTCTTCACGTACAATGAAAGGGCATAGGCATTGTGATCAATGACATATGCGTCCATGGCTTGGCGGGGAAACGGGTAATTGGAATTCAACATTTTTGTAATGGTTGTGTCCACAAGTTCCCCGGCACCAAGGTTAATATAAATGAGCTTTTTTCTTGAAGATATATCCGTCAGTTGTGGCAAATAAGAGATGTTTGTCTCATCGTTGACTAGGGGCTCAATATACTGCATAAGGGATATGCTGTTCGCGACTGACGGGCAATGATCGGGTAGTTCGAACCGCTCGAAGAGATCCAATGCCATGTCACCTCCTTCAAAACGCTTCTTGAAGAGAACTAAGGTGAAGGGGCCCACTGCACATACGTGCACGACGTCAGAGCTCTTCAAGAAGGAAGAGACAGGGGTGGCCTGCTTGACGAGGTTACCGGAGTAGAAACTGTGGTCGCCAAGAAGCATGGCGCCTGAACCGCCCGGGCGTAGGACCCTCTCGATCTCGAGCACGAGGAGGGCAGGAACAGATACCCGATCGAGAGATCGAGAGAACACGAAATCGAAAGAATCATCATCAAAATCGAGTTCATACATGAACCTCCTCTTCATAAGGGAGAAAAACGGGTGGCTACTAACGCCAGAAACATCAGAGAAACCCAAATCTCTCAATGCCAAAACAGCTGCGTCCGCGCCCTCTCCAACACACAGTGACTTCACATCTGAATCTAAGAAACTGTTAACCATCAGCTCCTCGAAGACGTTCTTAGCTAAAATCTCATCCGCTCTGCACGGAAATGGCATAACCCCAAATAGACGTGTGAAATTGAAAACGCTAGGGTTCATGCTAAAGTTCAAATGACTGCATTCACTGTCACTCAGCATCCACGGATCGGAGAATTGGACATCATGTCCCATTTGAACGAACAGTATGATCATAGTTCCGGCCCCAAACATCAGCAGTTTGAGAACCAAACGCTTCATCAGTGAACTGCGGACAGCTTGCCATTTCAAGGCCTTCAAGTCCATCCTTCTCTCAATAATAAACACCTCTCCAAAACCCGGTTAGTTTTTTCAGATCTAGAAAGCGATAGCTCGTTCTAAGACTAAAGTCTAGAGTTCAACACTCAGATTTGTTAAGAATCAAAGGAATTCAAGCCAAATGGTGAGGGAAGGTAAGATTTAGCGAGTACAAAATCTGGAGGAAGTGTGATTTCCACCCACGAGTAATACCATTGAGATTTGGGAGCAAAGCCATACCTTTTTCGGAATCCTTCTATCCATGATTAGATCGAACCAGTCTGTAGAAACCATCTGGAAACCTTAACCCATCACCGGAACAACGCCAATCTTACATGATTTGGAAATGTCAATCTATTCAGCGGCAATATACAGTGGAATTAAATTAAAATGAAAAAATATGTACGATTAGTGTTCTATACGGAAGAGAGACGATGAAGCGGTGGAAGTGGAAAACTGGGAGAGAAGGGAGCTGCAAATAAAGGGGTCATCAAAGTGCCAACTAAAGGATAACAGCACTTCACGTGTGAGGGCCCCTCATTGTATTTGCTATTGGAACTTGACAATGTACCTAATAGTGCTAAGCTCATTGATTAAGTGATAATTATTGTAAATTGTTTGTTTTGTTGTACTTTAATAATCACTCGTAGTACTTTATTAAATATTTTAATTTTGAGTACGTTTGACACTATTTAAATTGATATCACACTATTCAGATACGTGTAAAACGACAAAAGGATCACAAACAACCACCGGTCTTCGAACTAGACTAAAAGTCAATCACCTTCAAAAAACAATATGACTCGTTGATCCCAGTGCTGGACTCGGTTCGGGCCGGGCCCGGTTCGGGTCTTGAACCGGCCGGGCCTCGGTTCACCAAAAGGAGGGCCCGGGCCCGAACCGGCAGGTGACCGGTTCCGGGCCGGTTCCGGGCCAGACCGGGCCGGTTCCGGGCCGGTTCACCCGCCCCATTTTTTTTTTTGATTTTTTTGCTTCTCTTATTTAACCCCCTATCCCTCCCCCTCAACCCCAAACCACCCCAAACCACCTCAAATGGCCCAAAATACCTAATCCAACCCAAAAATTAAAAAAATTTCAAAAAAAAATTAAAAAAAAAATTATTCCGGCCCGGACCGGGCCCGAACCGGCCGGGCCGGTTCACCAAATAGAGGG